TGAAGAGCACAAATTCAACCTACATAACAAAACAAAAACCAACCTGTTTCAAGTTGCAGAAACCTTCATAAACAGCAAGAACATTGTCAAAAGCTTTCACAAGCGAGAGAAGCGAAGATTTCCCTTCACGATCCACGATTTCTATTTCACCAAATCACCAAAGTTAAACCACCCACCAAATAATCAAGCAGCTCAAAAAAACAACATCGTTCCAGTTCAAGTTTCACTAACCATTATTATCAAGGATATGAAGAGCAATAACAGTATCTCCAGGTTGAGCCACTTTGACCAAAGCCCAAGTCAACAACTCTCTACTCGCTGGGTCAAGCTTGACTCCTACTATCACCGTACTGTCACCGGAGCCTGCCATTCCCTCTCCTTCACGTAGCAGCATTTTCATGCTCTGGCTTTTTGAGATTTTAGTGATCAGGGAGATGTCGTTTAGGAGTTTCTATGTTGTCTTTTTGTTGCCTGGAATAGAGGAGGACCATCTCGTGCTCATATAGTAATACTTGACAGAGAGAGAGGGGGGGAGAGGGAGGGATAGGGGGGTCGTGTTTTTGGCTATAACCGTCAGTTTGGTTGTTTGCTTTTCAAGGCCGCGAAGCCAGACTAGAAAGGGAAAGGAAGGCAGGAAGGTTTTGTTAGGGTGCACCCGGGTGTATTTTGGACACTATGCATGTGACATTGGCAGTGGTAGATTCTTTTTGATGGTCCTCGAAATGATAATTGATGTCTCGTTACGATAAGTTTTTGGATTAACCGATAAGTGGCTGTTTGTTTTTTTCGGGTGGATTGGGTCCCACCCTCACTTGCAAAAGGCATGGAACCTAAACCAGCTGAAAGAACTGAGAATCTAGTAATGAGGTTAGTGTTTATGTGGAAATAGGTACGGGGGTTGCTGTCCTTATTGGTGAGATAATGTTACTTGCAACCTGTATTTAAATAATTATTTTGCAGTTACATTATTGAGCTGTAAAAATATTCATGTGAATTACAGCACTGATTTTTTTTAGCCTATTAAAGTTATTGCAATTTTATTATGAGCATAATTAATATGCGAATGCTTTTGATTTTTATGGGTTTGTGAATATAAAATCACATTTCTTAAAAAAAATTTAGGATCAAAACTAGGATGATAATTAAATCACAAGAATATATAGGTTAAAAATTAAAACAGGGTAAATGTTTTATTTGCATCTAAAACTTTCATTTGATGGAAGAAATGAGTTCACTTGAAATATATTGATTGAAATGAATTTCAAATGGCATTGAGGCATTGAGATGTTTTGATATCTAAAATGGTTTGAAATGTTAAATTTAATAGGTTTAGGTAAAGGTTGGAAGAGGAACGAAATGCAATGGATTTTTTTTATTTTTATGATCGAAAAACATGTATTAATTTTAAGAATGAAAAACATGTATTAAGAAAGAAAAAAAAGATGAAATAGATTTTCATACTAAGTAAAATTATATTGATGATCTAAGTTATATAATAATGTAATATATAAAAAGAATTGGATAAAAAATAATGTGCTAATATGTGAGAGTATTATTGTGATAAGAGAATTGTTTAAAATTTTAAGATATATATGTTACTTGATGTGTATGAATAAAGATATGACATGATTTTAACCTAAAATATTTTTAAGATGGTTAAAATAAATAAATAGAGTTTGTTTTTAAGGCTATTAGTGCCACATGTTTTTATTCTTTTTTTTTGGTCACTCAAGTTTATTTGGCTCTTCAATTTCTTCCTTTTAAATTGATTTAAGTTGAGATCTAATTTTATTGTTTTCTTTAATTGGCTTTGGGAAAGGTTCTTGTTATTTTGAAAGAGAAAAATGATTCCTAGGTGATGCTAAATTTAGCAAAACTAAGAAAAAATATATTGATTTAAAACAATTAGAGAAATGAAAACTGAAATTGAACCATTAATAAATATTCAGCCCCTTTATCTTGAAAGAATTAAGGAATCAATCACATAGTCATGGGAAGGATCAACCTTTTTTTTTCTTTGGTTGTTTATTTTTTTTTTCAATTTAATTCTTGTACATTGAGGTTTTTGTATAATTGAGCTTAATGGTGGTTTTGGTTGCCTCACTATAGGAATTCCGCGATGTCGAGAAAAAATTTTAAAGGGCGATTCATGATTGATTTTGCAAAATAAATTTTAATGTCCTTAATTTTAAACAATTAAGGCTTGAGTGATTAAATGTGAAACTTAAAATAACTATAAGGACTAGGTTCAATAGACAATGACAAAGTAGTTGGTCCATGCAATATATGTGTTAGTGAAGGACATTGTCACAATTAAATGACATGTGTCTCATCATATAATGTTGAAATGCCACCTTTTTTTGTAAAGTTGGATGCTTCTCGTCAAGCCTTAGTCATTGGTGAGGTGTATTTTATGGTGGTGGTGAGCAAAGGTTTATTTTGCTCCTTTTCTTTTATTTTTTTTTATTATCATCTCAATTTTCATGTAAATACCTTAAAAAATTCCAAGGTATCCTGTCATTTTATCGTTATGTGAGTTTTTTTTTATTATTTTAATTATTATTTACTTTTTTAGATATTTTTTTTAATTGTTAGATTTTTTTTTTAATTTTATCCATCAATATTAGATCGATTGTTAAATGAGCTTTTGTTTTTAATTTATGCTTAATGAGTTAATCCTAGAATCATAACCTATGTTATGAGTTTAGAGAGTTAGATTAGGTTGTTGGACATCTTTTGTAGGTTAATTTTTAAAAATATTATTTTTTAATTTTATTATTTAACATTAGAAATGATAATTGATGTCTGGTTACGATAAATTTTTGGATTGACCGGTAAGTGGCTGTTTGTGTTTTTCGGGTGGATTGGGTCCCACTGTCACTTGCAAAAGGCATGGAACCTAAACCAGCTGAAAGAACTGAGAATCTAGTAATGAGGTTAGTGTTTATGTGGAAATAGGTACGGGGGTTGCTGTCCTTATTGGTGAGATAATGTTACTAGCAACCTGTATTTAAATAATTATTTTGCAGTTACATTAATGAGCTGTAAAAATATTCATGTGAATTACAGCACTGATTTTTTTTAGCCTATTAAAGTTATTGAATTTTTATGGGTTTGTGAATATAAAATCACATTTCTTAAAAAAAATTAGAAACAAAACTAGGATGATAATTAAATCATAAGAATATATAGGTTAGAAATTAAAACAGGGTAAATGTTTTTTTTGCATCTAAAACTTTCATTTGATGGAAGAAATGAGTTCACTTGAAATATATTGATTGAAATGAATTTCAAATGGCATTGAGGCATTGAGATGTTTTGATATCTAAAATGGTTTGAAATGTTAAATTTAATAGGTTTAGGTAAAGGTTGGAAGAGGAACGAAATGCAATGGATTTTTTTTTTTTAAGAATGAAAAACATGTATTAAGAAAGAAAAAAAAGATGAAATAGATTTTCATACTAAGTAAAATTATATTGATGATCTAAGTTATATAATAATGTAATATATAAAAAGAATTGGATAAAAAATAATGTGCTAATATGTGAGAGTATTATTGTGATAAGAGAATTGTTTAAAATTTTAAGATATATATGTTACTTGATGTGTATGAATAAAGATATGACATGATTTTAACCTAAAATATTTTTAAGATGGTTAAAATAAATAAATAGAGTTTGTTTTTAAGGCTATTAGTGCCACATGTTTTTATTCTTTTTTTTTGGTCACTCAAGTTTATTTGGCTCTTCAATTTCTTCCTTTTAAATTGATTTAAGTTGAGATCTAATTTTATTGTTTTCTTTAATTGGCTTTGGGAAAGGTTCTTGTTATTTTGAAAGAGAAAAATGATTCCTAGGTGATGCTAAATTTAGCAAAACTAAGAAAAAATATATTGATTTAAAACAATTAGAGAAATGAAAACTGAAATTGAACCATTAATAAATATTCAGCCCCTTTATCTTGAAAGAATTAAGGAATCAATCACATAGTCATGGGAAGGATCAACCTTTTTTTTTCTTTGGTTGTTTATTTTTTTTTTCAATTTAATTCTTGTACATTGAGGTTTTTGTATAATTGAGCTTAATGGTGGTTTTGGTTGCCTCACTATAGGAATTCCGCGATGTCGAGAAAAAATTTTAAAGGGCGATTCATGATTGATTTTGCAAAATAAATTTTAATGTCCTTAATTTTAAACAATTAAGGCTTGAGTGATTAAATGTGAAACTTAAAATAACTATAAGGACTAGGTTCAATAGACAATGACAAAGTAGTTGGTCCATGCAATATATGTGTTAGTGAAGGACATTGTCACAATTAAATGACATGTGTCTCATCATATAATGTTGAAATGCCACCTTTTTTTGTAAAGTTGGATGCTTCTCGTCAAGCCTTAGTCATTGGTGAGGTGTATTTTATGGTGGTGGTGAGCAAAGGTTTATTTTGCTCCTTTTCTTTTATTTTTTTTTATTATCATCTCAATTTTCATGTAAATACCTTAAAAAATTCCAAGGTATCCTGTCATTTTATCGTTATGTGAGTTTTTTTTTATTATTTTAATTATTATTTACTTTTTTAGATATTTTTTTTAATTGTTAGATTTTTTTTTTAATTTTATCCATCAATATTAGATCGATTGTTAAATGAGCTTTTGTTTTTAATTTATGCTTAATGAGTTAATCCTAGAATCATAACCTATGTTATGAGTTTAGAGAGTTAGATTAGGTTGTTGGACATCTTTTGTAGGTTAATTTTTAAAAATATTATTTTTTAATTTTATTATTTAACATTAGGTTTATTACGTGAGTTTAGTAATTTGTTTCTTTTTACTTTATATGAGGTTATTTTGATCTCATGATTTAAACTGTAGATTGGCAAGCTACTCGGGTAAACTCATTTATGTTTTTTATTGATTTTTTTAAAAAATCATGCATTGGGTTAGTTTGGAAATTGAGTTTCGTAATTTTTTTAATATTTTTTTATGGAATTATCTTGATCTCATGAGTTAAGTTATAGGTTTAACAGACTGACTCGAATATTTTGTTTATTTTTTAAATTTTATCCTTTCATATTAAATTAGTTAGAAATGAAGTTCAAATTAGGAACAAAACTAGGATGATAATTAAATCACAAGAATATATAGGTTAAAAATTAAAACAGGGTAAATGTTTTATTTGCATCTAAAACTTTCATTTGATGGAAGAAATGAGTTCACTTGAAATATATTGATTGAAATGAATTTCAAATGGCATTGAGGCATTGAGATGTTTTGATATCTAAAATGGTTTGAAATGTTAAATTTAATAGGTTTAGGTAAAGGTTGGAAGAGGAACGAAATGCAATGGATTTTTTTTTTTTAAGAATGAAAAACATGTATTAAGAAAGAAAAAAAAGATGAAATAGATTTTCATACTAAGTAAAATTATATTGATGATCTAAGTTATATAATAATGTAATATATAAAAAGAATTGGATAAAAAATAATGTGCTAATATGTGAGAGTATTATTGTGATAAGAGAATTGTTTAAAATTTTAAGATATATATGTTACTTGATGTGTATGAATAAAGATATGACATGATTTTAACCTAAAATATTTTTAAGATGGT